TATATATATATATATATATATGCAGTATATTTATTTTATTATTATTATTGTATAAAAAGTAGTATATTTCTAAACATTAAAAAATAAAAAAAAACTATGAATTCATTGCACAAAAAATTGCATTTTACATAATTTATGTTCAAATAGTTGAATGAGTGATGCATATCTCACTTCAAAAAAAATAGAAAATGTTTTATAAATAAATAATATAAAAAAATTCTATCCAATAACGTGTATGGCGACATGACGGTTGATGGTTGAGCACTTGCCGATGACGTGTATGGAGACATGTTGGCAGTTCGGACGAGTTACTTCGCACCAAAAAATAAAATAATTATCCTTAGCAGAGCCTGCTTTCTGAGCCAATCATCCGATCAGCAGTCCCAAAAGCAGGAAATAGTGGTCATGAGGTCGGTTAGTTGCGTGCTATTGAGAGATTCAACTAACGCACGGCACCTTATTTCTAATGCTGACTTTCTGATCCATAAATTGAAGTATTATAAATTTATGTATAAATATTTCCTAAGAGTACGTACAATTTTTCTCTATTAATTATATTATGGTACGTATAGATGGAGATGGGCAATAAAAATTTGATTGGGGCGTCTTCATTCTATCTTTAAGTGCACACCACCTGCCGATGTATGCAGGGCCGTCAAAAAAGCTCGTTGTTCGCGAACAGTTCGTGTTCGGTTCGTCAATGAGTTCATGTTCGATTCGTTCGATAAGTAAACGAGACAAACGCGAACAAATTTTTTTCGTTCGGTTAGTTAAACGAACCAAACACGAACAGTGATGTGTTCGTTCGTGTTCGAATCGTTATTGTTTGAAATATAAAATAATATTAAATAATTATATATAAAAAATTTATTATATTTTAAAACATTAAATTTTATAAATTATAATATATAATAAAATAATAATAATAATATATTAATATACTATAGTAGTAATATACTAATATAGATATTGTATATTTATATAATATAAGTTATATAATTAATATATAATATTATTTTTATATATTAATATTAGGGATGTCAAACTGGCTAGTCGTTCGCGAACAGCTCGTGTTCGGTTCGTGTTCGGCTCGTTCGTTAAGAAACGAACACGAGTTTATTTCAAACAAACTAAATTTTAAACGAACCGAACACGAACACAAGCTTTGTTCGTTCGTGTTCGGTTCGTTTACACCCCTAGATGTATGAGAAATGCGTATTGCACTCTTTAAAAGTTATTTTGGTGGTATAAATGTAAAAAAGAAAAAAAAGCAAAATTTAAGTGTTAGATATGAAAATACATAGAAATTAGGTGGTATGTATGTAAATTCCTTTTAATTCAACCCAAACAAGAACAAAGCTAATTCCGTGAATTTTTTTACTTATTTTAATGAAATCAGATAATTTTTTCGCAATTTTAGTTTTCATACTACAACCGCAGATCAGTATTTTAGAAACGTGAAAAGCTGTTTTTTATAAAAGGGTGTAGTTGGGGCAGCTTGTGCTTATCCAGATAAGTAGCTTATCTTGTAACGCGGCCCACGAGTGACCCGAGGGGTTCAACCCGCGGCCTACATTTAGTTTAAAAACACAACCGCGTTTTCGGATAAGCTGCCGAAAAACGTATTCCAAACGATGAGACCATATTTTGAAAACGTTGCCCGCACTTATAAGCTGCCCCAAACGGATCATAAATACCCTTCACAATTCTTATGTACAATCTAACACCTAAACTTTATATTTACATGACATGCATACCCTCAAAGGACACCGCCATCACTTCATTTCAAAAATGATTTTTTTTTTTCATGAGGTTCACTAAGTGTAAATATCAAATTTTGAGCTTTAGATGTGTGAATACATAAAAAAATTGGCGGACAAATGCTATTGAAGGTACAAATGGGCAACTAGCATTGAGTTTGGAAGGAGTGATTCAGTGTTCCAGTGTGGTCCTTTCTTTAAGAGGACGGAGATATGCGACAGGGTGGAACCTCTCCAACAGAGAAGAAAAGAAGAACAGAGTGGATGGGGGATTGATGGGTACCAATAGGTGGAAAAGCACACACGGTATGGGAGTTTTTCAAATCTAATATATTCACCTAAATGGAAAATTTTTCTGTCCGGACTACGGACGTAGCTCTACGTGCGGACTCCAATAATATACCACCACATGTGCTACATTGCAGAGATTATTTCGAGGTTATTGAAGAGAAACTCTTATATTCTAGTTAGTTAAACCCCGAAATAACTTTCGCGATTCTACTTCAATAACCCCAAAATAACACCATGGAGTTTATTTCGGGGTCTCGATTATTTAGGGGTTACTGAAGATAAACTCATATATTTCAATTTAATAACCCCGAAATAACACCGCGGAGGTTATTTCCCGAAATAACACCGCGGAGGTTATTGCGGAGTCGGTTCTGCATTAATCTTTTTTTTAGGTTGGCTTGATATTGCACACATGGCGGTGTATTAGTAGGAGTACAGAGTCCGCACATAGAGCTACATCTGAAGTCTGCGCTGAGGTTGTGCTTGGAAGTAGTGATGAATTTAGCTCGAAGATCGTTAATCCCTCAAAAATTGATTCAAATTTCAGCTTTGGATAGAGATGGGATCAAATTTAATGAGTCGAGTTACGAGCTGAAATTTGAGATCAAACTTTTTTCGAGCCGATTTTGAGCCAACCCTAACTTGGATCAAAATTAAATCATTAACAACCTAAGTATTGGTGTTTAACTTTGTAGTGTAAAGTGTTTCCCCAATTTTCTGGTCCAAAGTATTTGGCGTTTAACTTTGTAGGCCTGGAGAAATAAAAAGAATTTTTACATGAGCAGTACACAATTCTTTATGTATTTATATATTTCACATACATAGCATTTTGATGCTTTAAACCTATGTATGAAAACATATACACCTAAAAAAAAATGTAATAATGCTAATTTTGATGTGATATTAAAAAATCTGAATGTTATAGCTAAATATGAAAGTTTATGGCCTGTTTGGAATTATTTTTTATTACTTTTTTTTATTATTATTTTTATTGTAAAAACATGTTCATTTAATACATATTTGGTCACACATTAAACATAGATCATCTGATGATCCAATTTAAAAGAGTAAACATCTTATATTCAATTTATATTGAAAAAGACAGAGATAAACCTAAAAAGAATTGGGTATATTATGTAAAAGATGATCTGAATCTATTAGAATTAAATGAAAATACATCAACCAACAGAAAAAAAGATTCATATAGCCAACCTCACTTAGGGGTATAAAAGCTTACATTTGTTGTTCTTCTTCTTCATTTAGTACATTTTATGTATATTTTTATTTTTTATTTTTTATTTTTAAAAACAAATTAACTTATTTTTAAACATCTAAAAATTATTTTGGAGCATTTTTTATAAATAATTAAACATGTTACGCCACATCGTACATGTTTTGTTTAAGTCAAAACATAAACAAATTAAAAATAAAAAAAATTACCAAATATATAAATCTTAATAATTATCTATATAATACTATATAATCTATAAATGCCATACAGAAAATACCACTAACATTAAACTTGTTTGAAGTAAGATATACTTTTTTGATGAATAAGTTTTGACAACATTTTATACTTCTGAACATAAGAAATTACGAGTGATATATCTAAATATATATTAAAAAATAAGGATATATAATCAACCCCTACCCTTTTTTTTGTTAAAAGTGTTTGTTTTTCTTTTGTAAATTTAAGTTTTTTTTTTAAAGTATATGTATATGATTGAATGAAAAATTAAAAAAATAATGAATTTATATTTGGCAACATTTGTTTAGAAGGGCAATCCACATATGATTTACTACCATGGATTTTAACTGTACTGTGAGTTCACTTAGTAAACTGTATCTGTCTTTCACAATGCTGGAGAAGTTTTGGTAGATGAGATTTCCATTCCAAAAGCAAAAATTATTACAATATTTACATGACAGTTTGCAGAAATTATTGAAAAGATGAGAGACACCGTAGCTACTTACATGGAGAAAAAGTTGATTGTCTCTCTAAGTGCCTGAATAAAGTGATCCACCTCCTCTTTGGTGTTGTAAAAGTAAAGGCTTGCACGAGCGCTGGCATTAACTCCAAAGTACCGATGCAATGGTTGAGCGCAATGATGGCCCGATCGAATGGCAACACCATGCTGAATTAAATTATTTTCAAGGATTAGGTAAATCATGTAAATGCATACAAAACCAATTTGATGCCATGCAGTGCAGTGAAATTTTAATGCACAAACCTCCTCGTTGAGAATTGTAGCAATATCTGTTGGATGAATATTCTTAACATTGAAGGAACAAAGAGCGGCACGATGGACGAATTCTGAAGGAACAGGACCATAGACCCGCACATTTGGTATAGAGGTCAAGCTGTAATAAAGATAATCCGCCAGCTCCCTCTGCAAGTAAGAAATATAAAAAAGGATACTTAATATGAACATCTTCAATCACAATGCAGATGTAAACCAAAAGCATCGATAATATTGGCAGCATGGTAAAAAAGAGAAACAAACACAATTGAAGTTCAAAAAGTGGAGCTAATGTAGATAAAAACTAATAAGCGAAACTCAAGTAGATCTGACAATAACAATAAGAAAAAAAAAAACCCACTCAATTATCTCTCAACTTTCCATACTATTCGGATAAAGTTTAACACAATTTTACGTGTGTGTGTGTGTGTGTGTCTATATCTATATCTATATATATAGTATGTGTGTGTGTGTGTGTGGAAGGTATATAAGTATTGATGTTGAAACATATTCATGCAAAAAAACATATATTTTAGAAACAACATTGAGATGTAACCAGAAAATAGAAAACCATTTCTCATGTTCAAAATAAAAAGTATTGTCCTTAAATAGTAATTCATTAGATTTGAACTCATTTGGCAAAAAATGTGATGGTGGAATCATAGCCTCCAAACCAACCATTTATTAATCTTCAAAAATATTCAAGTTGGCAGCTAAAGTGTCCCAGCCTCTTCATATCCAAATCCTAATCCATCACGATGGAATGCTTGCAAGAACTTGAAGGATCTTTTTTTAGGCCCCACTATGCACTACCCAACCAATCAAAAGCCGCACTATCATGAAAAATTTTATCAAGTAAGGTTGATGCTGCTGATTGCCTAGTGACCCCTTTCAAAGTTGAGAAACCTCAATTCTGGCTGAATTGAGCTACCCAACCATTACTAAGATTATGCCTTTTCTCCATTGCCCTTCTAGTGTGTTTCCTTTTCTTGCATATCAATCACTTGCCGTCTCTTCACTTGATGTCTAAGAAAGTTGATGCGAGCCATGAACCAAAATGCTTAAAGTTTTTCTCTGGTTGTTTCCCCAAGTAACCTAACAGCATTCCCGAGATTGTTCTCTTTATTTCCAGCTTCAGTAGGATTGACATAATGCAACTGTTATAGCTTCGCTCTTGTTAAGCTTGTACCATGGATGGTTCATTGTCACTGTCACCAGCTCCAAGTCTCCATTTTTACAGTTTCAGTTTGTCCTCTCTGTATATGATCCTAGGATACTAGAGACCTTAATGCAAGCGTTAATTCTAAATAAACAAGAAGACGAACATCATTTTGGTTGAGAATTTACTTCAGAGTTGACCGACAGGAATTACTAATAAAATTACAAATAAAAAGCAGCTTCTACGATAAAAGTTGTATAAATATATTCTTGCTCTTATTTATATCTTAAAGTGTATGCATGAAGCATCATATTTTAGTACTCTTTACCCGAGTTCAACCAAATAACAATAGTAAAACTAAATATTAGTGCTGAATTCAATTAGGGGATTACAACCAATAAATGGAAATAGGAAATAGGAGCAAATAGGACACAAACTCAAACTAGAGTTGGATCTAAGGGTGGTGGTGGTGATCGGCTGGGATTGAGAAGGTGGCATGGTGATGAAAAGAGGCGGTTGGTAAGCAGAAAATAGCAAGGCGGCTGTTTCCAGGTTCCGAACATCAAACAAGCAACGTAGATCAACATGCAATGGCTGTCCCGGGTGATGGCAGCACGGAGGAAGGTGGCGGCTGCAAGGGAGAAGTGTGTAGCAGTGTGAACAGCAATGACAGTTTTTGTCCCAGGTGCTCGTAGCAAGCTGCAGAGGTAGGGAAGCGTGGAAGCTGCAGAAAACAGTAGATCCTTGTTGTTCTGAGCGGGGACTAGAAACTGCTGGAAAACAACAATTCCTTGCTGTTCTGGGCAGCAGTGGCAAACTAGGGCGACGTTGATCGCTGAGGGAAGGGCAGGGAAGGGTAAAAGAAGAATAATCACCACCTCGGGAGCGAGATACAACCGAAGCACCACTCGCTAAAAGAAAAAACAAAGAAATTGGCGGCTGTCCTGAATAACACACGACAAAAAACTAACCCTAAGACATCTCAAAAGCAAATATATAATGATAGGATAAGTAGGAGTGGCCCAAGAAGACCGCATGACTCCTTAGAAGACCTAGACCGGTTCAGTCCAAGCACTAGAAGCGACTCCCGTGTCGCCCAGCGTCAGCCACTTTCTGCGCATTATCTTAGCTCTTTATTGATTCAATAGCATTCTTTGCCTTGACAAATGTACAACTTGATTAGTACCTACGCTTATTTTATTTGGATTGACTGGTAAGTAGGGATGTGTGCCGCGACTGGTAGAGCCCAGCTCAGTTGAAATTGGCTTGCCTCAATACCAATTGATTTTGAGTTGAGACAGTTTAGCTCAAATTGAACCGAGTATCAGTCATCTTTAGCCAAGTTGGAGCATAAAAATACTGTTTCATCCTTATTTGTAGGGGAAAAAAAATTGTCAAAGACAAAGGCTTGCTATTGAAGCAACTCGTCTTAGCACCAAGGTTTAGATGTGAAACCAATATGGCGACATCAAACCAAAAAACTTGTCCTACCAAGGTAAATGTGTAGGTATAAATCAACCTAGGTTCGCAGCACACTGTATCCCATGCTTATTTTCACTCAGCACTATGTACAAGTAAGATTTATGCTCATTTATATTTCATAAATGATAAGAAATTTTGGAAAGTATACTATATCAATATTATATAAAAAACAGTATGAGATAACAAATGAAGACTCGGTGTTTTGTCCCTCCAACAACCTTAATCTTCCAGGCCTGTAGCAGGATGACAATACAAAACGAGATACTAATGTCCACTCCTAGGTCTCTATTCATCTTCCTTAAAGAGAAATGGTAACAATGGACGTACAATGATGATTAACACAACAGTTATTGGTGTGTAAAAGCATATGAGAGTGCGCTGGCAAAGGTACGCAACAGTACTGTAAACTGGCATGTAGCTGGTTTTTTGCTTTAAACAGGCATGAATTAAATATTCCAAGTATTCGTCATCAAAATAAGTTCTCACCCCCCTTAACTTCGGCTAAAAATCCTACAACGCTTTTCAAAGTTTTAACACAAGAAAATTTTGAAGTAAAGGTCTTTTGATGAAATGATTGTGCAATTTTTTTTCCTGCAAGTCCGGCATGGAAACTAGCATGAAATAATTTAATTAAACTGTGAATTGGGGTGATGATTCTGATCATTAAAAAGGCCTGTGTATTCTAGTCTCTAATCATTGAAATTTTGGCTTGTATATGAAGCCCTAGAGATACATTTATCTGAGGATTAGTAATGTTAATTACGCTAAAAAATCTTGGATTAAACACCTTGATTCCATTATTTGTTTACACTGGGTCTTACTCATTTGAATGAACGTTAAAAAAATTGTGTTACTTCAAATTTATAGGATGGAAGGCACACAAAACGGTATTAATGTGCATAATACTCAATTGAACAAATTAAATACAATAATCATATATTAGTTTTATAGAAGCCCGAAAATCAGATTCCTCAAAGGATCATTAGAAGTATCATGATACTATAAATTATTGAAGTTGCGGCCTCAATACCTCTACTTTCCATTCCACAAAATTGGACTTTACAAGTTGATGAGAAAGCAAATCTTTGTTATTTTATACTAATAAAATGGAAGCAGTAAAATATAACGGTGTGTATGATGTATTAATGAGCAAATAAAATATCATAATGTGTGGGAAAAACAACTTTCATCAGAGCTGTAATTAAAATCCTATTGCTGATGCACTTGACTACTTCTTGCCAAGTTGGGTTGGAAATCTACGCCACACTTCGATAACACCATAAGTACCTTATGCAACGAGTTCATTTTTCAATAATAATCAAGCAAATTTGTCTCCACTACAAAATGTCATAAGTATGCATGATTTTTAGCAAGTCGTGTATTATAAACTTGGTAATTTTAACAAATTCCTACACATTATGAAGAGCATCTGCTAGTATCAACTAGAGTATTAGTAGTGCTCCCCCATTTTCATCCTTTGGTAATTCTTGATAGTATGAATCTATGCACCTAGTAAATAAAATAGTCTAGTAGAAAACTGTCACCTGAATGCTTTTGATTTGAGAACCAATTAGATGTGTATTTTTTCACTTTTTATGGTTTTATGGAGAATGATTTGAAGAACTAGTTTTCTCAAACAGCTTAAAACACCATTCACATTATCCACTTTATCAAGTTTTCCTCTCCATCTTTCTCAGTTAATTCATAATAAAACCCGTAATGGCCTTCCCCATTCATTGAAGTACAAAATGCACCCACCTCATAATCATGGATTCGTTGCATGCCAATTCTAGAAAGATATTCAATCGCTGCACCCAATCCAACAGCTTCAGCAATAGCTGGAGTTCCAGCTTCAAACCTGCCAAAATTTAATGATAGATCACTCTAAGTTATATAATGTATTGCTCCAGAAAAAAATAGATGCACTACATCAATGTTACAAATCTACAACAGGAATTTCATTGCAAAAAAACAAATACTTGTAATTACATCTTTCTAAGAATTTTAGCATACTTTAAGCAAGCGGATGGAATGAAAAAAATCAATAGCAGCTTTAAAAAGTTATTAAAGATCAACACACCTGAAAGGTCATTAAAGTCGGGCTTCTCTTCATGCACTACTGCCGTAAACATATAAAAAAAAGTCTAAAGAAAATTAAATAAAAAAAACCTTAAAATAAATTATAAATTGAAGTGTACAATGATTTAAGTCTAAAACTAGAATTAAGATTTTGTCTCTGTGTGCCTGTCTGTGTGTGTGTGCGGGGGGGGGGGTAACCCCTACCACCCAATTCGGATGTATTTACTTATGTAACACGTAAGCTTTACATTTTACATTAATACCACTCAAATATTTCATGTCACATTAAAAAATATCACCATTTTAGCTTTTAAAAGTGAAATGCACTATTTCATTGTCTAGGTTAGTAAGCATGATCATAATTCTCTGAAAAACTGATCGTTGCACATAAAAATTCCATGTACAGACTAATACTTCAAAGCTAGCACTTAATAATTACATTTTTCACGATAATTCCAATCAAATAAAATCACAAATTTGTATCCACAAACAAAAGTATTTGCCACTACTTACTCAACTTTAGCAGAATAGTAAGCCACAAGAGTTATTTAATATATATAGGGTAGTCAATCAAATGATAATCAAGATGATAATAAAATCAAGGTTCAAAATCGAATTCAACCTACTGGATATAATATCTTTGTAAGAATGTAATAGCACAGTTGAATTTAAGTGATAAATGATTGAGAATAATAAGACAATTTAATTGTGTCGAAATACTCAAAGAGTGAAAAGTTAACCCCAAGTTAGATGTGCTTTTAGCTAACAATAGTTTGAAAGAGAAAATAGTAATTCCATCTGAACTTTATATCATTATGTTGTTTAAACAAAGTTTAATTTACAATGTCATTAATGATTGGTCAATCAATAGCATTCAGTTCCTCATGATGAGAGCAGACCAATCCGTGCAATCAGCGATAGTATGAAAAAGTTCTTCATAGCATTGCTTATTTTTAAAAAAAATATAAAATTACTCAAAAATGCGAACTATAAGGTCCATCATTCGCAATAAAAGCACAGAATTAACATGCAGGCAGGGTAAATATTGTATTAATGGTTAATTAAAAATATTTTTACAATTTTCATTATCATACAATTCGCTGAGAAATGGCCTAAATTAAGTATTGAATGCTTTCAATCATGTTAAATAACATGGCTTAGATCAAAACAATTACGTGTCATGCTCACATCTATGTAAATTGATTCAAATAACGAGAAATAATATCCTAAACAGGACTATTGAACGTTAAAAACTATCAGGCATATGCAAATTGATTCAAAAAACGAGCAATAATATCCTAAAATATTAAACAAATTAATTTTATATTGGTAGACCAAGCACATCTTAAAGCATGATTAAAACACTCGAAGCATTTGTGGTTATTATTTTGTATCTGATGCCCACCATCAAAACACAAGCTCAATTTAGACACATCACGCTTGACTAACTCGTCATGAACCTCCTTGAGAATGGACAAATCACACAAGCATATTAATATTAAATGTATTAAGATAATTTGTGTTTCTATCCCAGTGCATTCTCTCACAAATCATATTTACATTCCTCGAGGCCATATTATGCCACTCATTTTTTTTAACTCTCTAAGTTGTCTAAAGCAATAGCAATGTCCAACACACGAGAAAATCTCTCCACTTCCACAAATCAGTGTTTAACTGATATGAAGCGCAGGTCAAGCCAAAATCTAACACTTTCTATTCTATCATGAAAAAGACATAAGAGCCACTCTTAAAATTTAATGGACTCACACTAACAAATGTGAGAGAAAATAAACCATTATTAGCATCAAAAACTATAAAAGTTATAAGAAGTGTCCACATACTTGCCTAGAAGAAATGTTCCATCAAAAATAGCACCAGCTACAATGAATCTAGCTGAAAATAAAAGGGCCAAAGCTCTAGAACAAACTTTGAAAGTATGAATAAGAATTAATCCTATAATTCGTATTACTAAATTAACGATTCCTATAAAAATACATGAAGAATGATATGAGAATTCCGAACTTCCAAAATTTGTCTAAATTTCTTTCCTTAAACAACTGGAGCCTTCATGTATAGAACAGACGAAGAATTTACCCTCACTTCTGCTGCTAGTTTCCTTCATTTTCATGACAATTAAGTTACTGAATGGTTGAGCTAATATAATAACAAATAAATATTAAGTTACACTAGCGTTGCCCAGAGTGCAAGATTAGATGGTGCCCAAAATTCTTCATGCGACACCAAGATGCTTAAATTTTGTTGCAAGCAAATACATACAATATGTATGTGGTAGGTGATAATGTCGACACACAATTGACAGAGCGACTTTATTTTATTTTGAATATTCTTATTAATTGATCAAGCATTAATGGCATGCTGTGAATCAAACTTTGTTTGAAAGAACATATAAATATGAAATTGAGACTGTTTAATATTCCCTCTGGCATAGCAAGATTTGAGTAGTGTTGAAATCCAGAAGGATAACTTTTTTATTGATACCGAAAGGAGTATAAATACAGGATACAAAAGTTATAAAATAAAAAAGGCATAAAAGAGGAAATACATAAATAATGAAATACATAAACTAGAAAATATCCATAAAGTTAAGGAAATAACTAAATGCTAATAATTCTAATACTCCACCTCATGTTGAAGCATAGATGTCAATCATCTTCAACTTAAATTTGAAGTCGTCAAACAATGACCGAGGAAGATTCTTTGTGAGGATATCTGCTAGTTGACTACTAAACGAGACAAATAACACACAAATCTCCCCGGAATTGAGCCTCTCCTTAATCAAGTGACGGTCAATCTCTACATGCTTGGTGTGATCATGTTGGATCGAATAATGAGCAATGCTAATGATGACTTTATTATAACAGAACAATTATAGAGGAACAAGGACCGACCTACGTAACTCGCGGAGCATGATACTGAACTAGAAAACTTCACATATTCCCAAAGAACAAAACTCAGCTTCAGAATTGCTACAAGCAACCACTGACTGTTTTTTTTTTTCAAGTGACAAGGTTTCACCACATGAAGAAGCAATAACTCGAGGAAAATCGCCAATCATGGACGGACCCAGCCTAATCAACATCCGGAGAAACTACAAAGAGCGAAAGGTGTAATGAGAGAACAAACTTGAGCCCAGTGTGCCTTTTAAGTAGTGGAGGATCCTGTGGAGAACAGTGAGATGGTGCTCAAAAGGGTCATGCATGAACTGACTCACAATACCAACAAGTGACAAATGTTAGGGCGCATATGGGTGAGGTAAATGAGTTTACCCACAAAATGTTAGTAGTGTGCCTCGTTCACCAAAACAGCATTCGGAACATCTTTCAATTTCTTTTTGGAATCCATCAGAACAACAACAGGTTTACAAAGGGGAATGTTGGTCTCGGTTAAAAGATTTATCACATATTTGCGCTAAGAAAGGCAATTCCCCGAGAGGACCGAGCAACTTCTATACCTAAGAAATATAGAAGAGACCCCAAATCCTTCATTTCAAAAGATGAAGCGAGAATATTTTTAAGAGACTCCAAGACTGGCAGATCATTACCTGCAAGCACAATACCGTTGACATCGACGATGAGGATGTTAGGGCTGGAGCCCGATTTCGACACTCCCGCCTCCTCTAATTCGCGAATCGGCGCTTCCTGCTCCCGCTCCGCTCCCGATCTCGATCCCGTCTCCGCCTCTCGTCTCCCGCATGCGCGAAGCTTCGCGTCGCTTTGCCCATCTTAGCGTTGCTTGGCCTGTTCCTCCTTTGTCGCGAAAGGTCGCGCCTCCTCCCGCTCCCGCTAGATTGCGAAACCGTGTTGGCGATAAAAGGTATCGCACGGCTTTCCTTTTAGTTGGAGAGTGAAGTCACGGTGAAGGCAAGATTGCTAGTGGTGATCGGGCTGAAGAGGAAGAAGACATCGCAAGGGCATCGCTCTCCAAGGGCTTCTTATTTGGCCAAAAGAAGAAGGTGGTTCTCCAAGGCTTCTTCACGTTTCTTGTGGTAAATTTGGCTTACGTGTGAAGAAAGAAAAAGGACAGCAGACTTGCTTTCTTTGGAATTTACTTCTCTTTTTTTTGGTGTGTATTACGGTGGAGAAAGGAGAGAGGAGACAGAGATTTCTCTTGTAATTGTTGAAGAGATCGACCGGTGTAAATTCTTCAATTAATAAAATCCTCTGCAACTCCGTAAATCCTCCGCAACTCCGTGGAAAACTCCGTGGAAGTAGACAATTTGCTGAACCACGTAAATCTGTGTGTTCTTTTGGTGTGAATTTTCTAGTGCTATTTTATTCGCTTTGTCGTCGATCGTTTTTTAAATTTCAAATATACCACAACAGAGGATGGCAATTGCCATTGGATGAATGCTGAAAGAAAAAAGTATGCTCAGATTGGGCCTGAGAGAACCGGCCCACTACCCGAACCAAGCCTGAGGGGATTACTTCAGTCCGTAGAGGGACTTTCACAGTCGGCGCATTTGGCAACGAAAAGTTGTAGAGTCAAAGCCCATAGGAAGAGACATACATACTTCTGTGAGATCGTCGTTAAGTAAAGTGTTATTGACACCAATTGGAGTAACGACCAATCCAGATACATGGCAAGGGAAAACAGAACCCAAATAGTGTTCAGTTTAGCAACTGAAACAAACGTCTCCTTATAGTCAACTCCATAGGTTTCTGAATAGTTTTGGCTACCAACTACACTTTGTTGCGTTCAAAAAATCCATCGAAGTTAAATTTGGTGAAAATCCAGCAACAACCCACTTATTTCTTTCCT